ATAGCAATATAAAGTAACTTTGAGTAAAAAAAAAAAATAATAATAACAAGAATAATGATAACAATGAAATGAACAATAACAAAAACACTAATGAAAATAATAACTATAATGATAACAATAACAATAAGAGTTAAATAACAAAGTACTTTCATTTCTGACCTTTATACGTGCCCTCACTCTAAGCGTAAGAGGTTCCTCCTGATATTCTAAACGGCACAGCAGAGTGTGGTCAATCAAACCAGGTTGTCCACCTGTAATGGTCAGCCTAAGATCTGCAACTTCTCCCGGTGGAATAATTCCTTGAGGAGTTTCAACTTCAATGATGTGACATTCACTCAACGATGACCAATTGAATGTGACAGGATATTGGCTAAAGTTGACCATCTGAAAAAAAAATGGCCAAAGTTTCAATAGACATTTCTGGCATGTAAACCAAACTTAACAAAAAGACCAATCAGAATTGGAGCAGGAATATTTGTGCTTGTCCAATCAACATGTGATATTCCACAAATGCATATATTTACATAAATTAATGCTGTTTTGTGGGACAGTAGCAAATATATCCAAGGGGTGAGGCTTAGTAGCAAGTTGCATTCTTCTTTTTTTTTTTTTTTGAAAGTAAGCCAATTGTAAAAGTCTTCTGTTCAGAAATTCTGAATTTTAAATATTGTGCAATATTATTATATTTCATTCATTATTGTTTATTAGTAAATACATATTAATTACAGTACAGTATTATGAATACTATTGCCGAAATAATATATTGCGACATGAAAGTTATAGCATCAGTATTTGATGTCATGGCAACATCTTTGTTACCTGCCAAATATTATTTTACTTTATATTTATCATGTAAATCATGTGTGACGAAGCAACTAATTGTAAATATTGTGTCACTGACATACATTCATGCAAATAATGTTTACTAAAATTATTAAATTCATTTATTTAATTCATAATGTGATTTTTATTTTGGTAAAACTCATCTTAATACAATTAATTGTAAAGCCAATTCCTTGCCAATTAAAACTTTAGCCCATATCATCAAGTTTTATGTTACACATAAAATTTTTAATTTTCCCATATATTGGGGGAGGGGGTGGGGTTGATATTTTTTATTGATTTAGGTGAACACACACGTGCGCTAAGAATTGGCAATAGTGAAGTACAAGTATGTGACAATCCCTTTCTGTAGACAAACATACACGCACAATGCTTTACGCAAATTAAATCTCAATGGGAGGCATAGGGAGTAGAGTTGTTTTGGTCGTGAGAAAAATCCTGCAACATTGACAGGAACTGATCCCGGGGGCCCTGGGATTGGAAGGCAAGCATCTTACACACCAAGCTGTAACATTGTCATGCCAATTATTGTCACATAATCACCACCATCATCATCATTTATTTACGTACGTATTTTCCCTCTTACGAAGGGTTACTGACTTCACTCTATGATGACACTTCCATGTTCCACTATTTCCTATCTTGAGCATTCTCCTCATTTAGACCAACCTTACAGCTTTCTTTATTCACCACATCTTTTCATGTAAGATTTGGTCTTCCTCTTCATCTTATACCATCAACTTCCAAAACCCATGGTCTTTTCACAGGTTCATTATCCTCCCTTCTCAGCACATGACCCATCCATCTCAATCCACTTCTCTTTACCACTTGTACAATAGTTCCTTCCAGACCCAACCTATCCATGAGCTCCCTTGTACTCTTTCTATCAGACAGCAGTGGCGGCGCCGAGATTTCCCAGACAGGGGGTCCAAGGTCCCCGAGGGGGTGGGGGCCCTGATGTCCTAGACGAGAAAAAAGTGGGCGTGGTTGGGCTTCGCTAAAAACCTTCCGAAAGTCTATTAATATGTACAAAATACATATAATTTTTTGGAATTTTTTTTTTCTCCCCCACAAATTGTGGTTTTTCTCCTCGACAAGGGGCGGGGGAAGGCCTCCCTGATGGTGGGGCTGTAGCCTTGCCTAGCCTCCCCCACCTGTAGCGCTGCCACTGTCAGAAAGTTTCACACCACACATCTTCCGAATCAGGGCTCTTTCAGTTCTCCTCAAGGGTATCCTCAAGGGTCTCATAAAACTTGATAGTGTGGGCAGAGCTTGAATAACCTTTACATCAATGCTTCTACAGTCTTTGATTTAATTAAAGTTCTCCCTCAATTAAAGACCACTTTTAACACCAGAGTTTTTATGGTCTTAAGCAGCTTTGGTCTTTTATTATGATTAATATAAAGATAAAAGATAGACACTCATATTGGGCTCCATAAAGGTGGCCTTAAAATTGGAGGTTGTCTTTAATTTTAGTGGTCTTTAATTGAAGGGAAACCTGTACAGTACTGCCTGTGTGAAAGTAATACATTTGAACAATAAAATTCAATATTTAATTTGCATAATTTTTAAGTAAGTATATAAGAAAAAATGTTTTCGTCAAATCTTTTATTTATTTTATTTATTTTATTTTTTATTTATTTTTTTGTTATCTGTGTTTTATTTATTTCAGTGTTTCAGCCTGTATGTGAAAGTAGGCTATATCCTCTCATTTCCATTTGGTATTGGCTTGGTACAGTAGCTTCAGGCTTTATAGAATCTTCTCATTACTTTGTGATGTTCTTAATTATTTTTTTATTTTCTTTTTTTTTTTTTTAAGTAAAATGCAAGTAGTAAATTAGACTTCAGCTATTTTTTGGTTGATTATGTTTGCTTTTTTATACAGTAAATAACTTATGATTTTTTTTTTTACCATATATTTTATATAATGTTACTCATTTGCAATGTTGCTCTATGTATTCAATACGATTCCTAAGTCAATATAAATAAAGTTTGAAAAATAATGAACACTGTACTGAATTCGGTTTTTGTTTATTTCTCATTGGTGTTTTTGTATTTACCAATTGTATTGAGTTCTCGTTTGTTACTGTCTACAAAATTAATCGAAAAGTAAAGGGTTTGATTAGCTCATTACTGTATTTTAAAATGAGCAAATAAGTTTACTCTCAAACAGAATTAGATAGAAAAAAAATGTTTTTCTACAATCTTTAAATTGATTGATCTCAAAAACTCTTCACATCTTTCTCAATAAACTTCAACAGTTCGTCCTTCATAATCATTCTTAATTCATAAAGTATTGGAAATAATGTTGTTTTACATTAGAATTATCTTATTTATACCATTTTTATGTTTAAATATCTTATTTTTTTAATTATATTTAATTAAATTTATATATATATATATTTATTTATTTAATTTCCTTAAAGTTAAAATGATTTATCATCAATGATTACATATTTTGTTATATTTATTTTTGTATTCCACTTATTGCTTTCTGTATTTTGTCAATTTTGTTTTATTATAATTGACCTATTTTATTTATAATATTGTATTTATGTTAAACCGGATGAGTGAGGTTCACATAGTTTGTGTTACAGTGATTTAGTTCGCTTTTGTGTTCCTGTTGACTCATTTAATTTATTATACTTGTATTCTGTATGTATTCCTTCATTGTATTGTACTTTGTATTTTTTTTTTTTTTTTTTTTTTTTTGGCGAATAAAGAATAAGAATTACTGTACCAGACAATTTAAGAGTCTGCAAAAGAATACATCAAAGGCGGGAACATTTTTATCGTTTTCAATTTTTAAATTGTAGGTTACTTAAATATACAAATTTAGCAATTGAAATATGAAATTGATTTTATTTTTTTCAATTTTTTAGCTCATGACAGTCCATAATGGTAAGAGCTACGTAATTGACTACTTAATCTAGAAACGGAAAAAATGACAGTACACTAAATTGGCCTAGTGTCTAAAATTATGTTGTCTTAAATAATATTCTTGTTATCAGCACAATTGAATAGTACTGTTCGTCACCTATTACTGCAATCACAACTTGTCCCAGTTTTACAGTACAATTACGGGCAGGGAACTACATAAATATGACGTCATACGATTCATGTTCAATTAAACCGCTAATGACGGGTAATGAGCACTTACGAGTGGTATCGACTTGTGTATTGCACGTTAACCTTATTGTTTGCATAATTTAATATAGCATTGCTAATATTCTAGGCCGGCTCCAAGTGCACAGATAATAGAGAAGTTGGAAAACGTGTTTTGTATGATAACACGATGGGTTGTAAGTAACACACTACCGAGAAATTCAAATTTCCTGTTTTAGTTCCAATAATTCTTAACGGTTATTAATCTATACGATTCATACATGAAGAATTAAATGAGTAAAATAAAATACGAACACAAATGCAATTACTTTGTAAAGCACTTCTTGCACTTTCAATATCGTGCACGTTTTCAAAATTTGGAATTACACTGGTATTGCCATGTAGTGGCACTGATGCGCATAGGCCTACGTACTATCAAATTACTCTGGCCTTGGATAGAATCAATCATGATGAAAATGTGCAATATTTTCCGCTCCTTGTATTGGCGAGTATTTTAAAGATTACAGGTCTCCCTTTAATTAAAGACCCCTCCGATTAAAGACCACTTTTCTGTGGTCCCAAATAAACAAATGCACTTTTATTATTAGAAACCAAAGCTGCTAAAGACCATGAAAACCCCGGTCCCAAAAGTGGTCTTTAATTGGAGGTGGACCTGTAAATTCCACTCCAAATCCCCTTCTTGCTTTGCTCTTTTTAGGGAAGTTGAAGAGTACCTAACCAGAACAAGAATCAAAATATTCTTAGTACTTCTGGCTGGAAAAAGGATAACGAGATGTATACTTGCAAGAGACACCAGAAACGTGACCAGAACCTGACTCGAGCTTACGACCTAGTGGTGGAAGCCCAAATCCCCGCGAAACCACATCTAGTGGCCGCACAAACGGGG